TCAGGATTGAGTTTAAGCCCCACACTGGGCATGGAGCCTACTGAAAAAAAAAATCACTAATCTAATCATTGGAGAAATGCAAAATAAAACCAGAGTGAGACATCACCCCACACCTGTTAGAATGGCTAGTATCAAAAAGACAAGAAATAACAAGTGTTGGTGAGGATGTGAAGAAAAGGGAACACTTGTGCACTGTTGGTCGAACAGAAACTGGTACAGCCACCATGGAAAACAGTATGAAGTTTCCTAAAAATATTAAATCTAGAACTATCATATCATCCAGCAATGCCACTTGAGTATTTATTCAAAGTGGAATAAAACAGTAACAAAGAAAAAAAAAACAGTAACAAAGAAATATATGCACCCCCATGTTAATTGCCACATTATTTGCAATAGCCAAAATATGGAACCGATCTAAGTGTCTATTAACAGATGAATGGATAATGAAAATATGGGGTGTGTATGTGCGGTATACACACAATAGAATATTATTCAGCCATAAAAGAAAAGGGAAATCTTGCTATTTGCAAGAATATGGATGTACCTTGAAGGCATTCTGCTAAGTGAAATAAGGGAAATATAAAAAATAGTGAAAGGGAAAAAAGGGGAAAGGATAGAAAATGAGTGGGAAATATCAGTGAGGGTGACAGAACATGAGAGACACCTAACTCTGGGAAATGAACAAGGGGTGGTGGAAGGGGAGATGGGTGGGGGCTTGGGGCGACTGGGTGATGGGCACTGAGGGGGACACTTGATGGGATGAGCGCTGGGTGATATCCTATATGTTGGCAAATTGAACTCCAATAAAAAATATATTAAAAAACTATATTAAAATGCAAAAAAAGAAAGAAAGAAAGAAAGACAAACACTGTATGAGGTCACTTATATGTGGGTTCTAAAAACAAAACAAAACAACAAAAAACAAGCTCACAGTACAGAGAACAGATTGGTGGATGCCAGATATGGGGCAAAATGGGGGAAGGGAGTCAAAAGGTACAAACTTCGTTATAAAATAAATTACGTCATGGGGATGTAATGTACAGCATGGCAACTATAGTTAATTAAACTATATTGCATATTTAAAAGTTGCTATGAGACTAAATCTTAAAAGCTCTCACCACAAGAAAAAAAATTAATAACTATATATGGTGATGGATATTAACTAGCCTTATTGTGGTGATCATTTTGCAATACATACAAATATCGAATGATTATGTTGTATACCTGAAATTAATATAATGCTGAAGTCAAGAATACCTCAATTTAAAAAAAGCATGGTAGGGATGACTGGGTGGCCCTGCGGTTGAGCGTCAGCTTCAACTCAGGACGTGATCCCGGGATCTGGGATTGAGTCCTGAATCGGACTCCTGCATGGAGCCTGCTTCTCCTTCCCCTGCCTATGTCTCTGCCTTTCTCTATTATCTCTCATGAATAAATAAATAAAATCTTTTTAAAAAAGAACAACATATTGGAGAAAGAATAGACAATTTTATCAATGGAACAAACAGAAAGAAAGTAGACCTGGGCGCCTAGGTGGATCAGTCGGTTAAGCATCTGACTCTTCGTTTCAGCTCAGGTCATGATCTCAAGGTCTTCAGATCAAGGTCTGCATCAGGCTCCATGCTCAGTATCAGGCTGCTATCCCTCCCCCCCCACTGCCCCCCCCCGCATCGCTTGCACAATTGTGCACACTCTCTCTCTCTCAAATAAAATCTTTAAAAAGAAACAGGAAAAAAAAAGAAAAAGAAACAGGAAATAGACCCACACAAATATAATCAACTGATCTTGGACAAAGGAGAAAAAGCAATTCAATAGAGAAAATAGTGCTGAAACGACTGGACATCCATATGCAAACAAAAAAACTAGACTCGGTCCTTTTATCTTTCACAAAAATTAACTCTAAATGGATCTTAGACCTATATGCAAAATGTAGAACTATAAAACTTCTACAAGATAACAAGAGAAAATCTAAGTGACTTGGGTTTGGAAATGTTTTAAAATACAACACCAAAATTACGATTCATGAAAGGAAAACTGACAAGTTGGACTTTATTAAAATTTTAAAATTCTGCTCTATGAAAGACACCATTAAGAAAATAGACAAGTCACAGAATGAAAGAAAATATTTACAGAACACATATCTGATAAAGGACTTGTATTTAAAACATACAAAAAATTCTTAAAACTCAACAATAACAAAGTAAACAACCCAATTTAAAAACAACCCACCACTGGGTGGCTCAGTGGTTGAGGGTCTGCCTTTGGCTCAGGGCGTGATCCCAGAGTCCTATCGAGTCCCACACTGGGCTCCCAGCAGGAAGCCTGCTTCTCCCTCTGCCTATGTCTCTGCCTCTCTCTGTGTGTCTCTCATGAATAGATAAATATTTTTTAAAAATGGATAAAAAGGGGCAGCCCAGGTGGCTCAGCGGTTTAGCGCCGCCTTCAGCCTGGGGCCTGATCCTGGAGACCCAGGATCGAGTCCCACATCGGGCTCCCTGCATGGAGCCTGCTTCTCCCTCTGCCTGTGTCTCTGCCTCTCTCTCTCTGTCTCTCACGAATAAATAAATAAAATCTTAAAAAAAATGGATTAAAAGGGGGGCACCTGGGTGGCTCAGTCAGTTAAGTGTCCAACTCTTGATTTCAGCCTAGGTCATGATCTCAGAGTTGTGGGATAGAGCCCTATGTTGGGTTCCATGCCCAACAGGGAGCCTGCTTAAGATTCTCTCTCCCTCTCCCTTTGCCCCTCCCCTGCTCATGTTCTCTCTCTCAAATAAATACATAAATCTTTTTAAAAAGGACAAAAGATCTGAACAGACACTTGACCAAAGAAGATATACAGATGGCAAATGAGCACATACAACTATATTCAACATCATTACGGAATTGTAAACTAAAACAATGAGATACCATTACACACCTATTGGAATGGTTAAAATCCAAAAATCCGACAATATCAAATGCTGACAAGGATGTAGAGCAACAGGAATGCTCTCATTCATTGCTGGTTTGAATGCAAAATGGTGAAGAACTTTGGAAGACAGTTTGGCAGTTTCTTATAAAGCCAATCTTACCATATGACCCACAATTGCACTCCTACTTATTTACCCAAGTGAATTAAAAACTTACATCCAGGGATGCCTGGGTGGCTCAGTTGTTGAATATCTGCCTTTGGCTCAGGGCATGATCTCAGGTCCAGGGATTGAGTCCCACATCGGGCTCCCTGTGAGAAGCCTGCTTTTCCCTGTCTCTGCCTCTCTCTGTCTCTCATGAATAAATAAACTAAAAAAATATATTTAAAAAAAAAAACTTATGTCCCGGGACGCCTGGGTGGCTCAGTGGTTGAGCGTCTGCCTTTGGCTCAGGGCATGATCCCAGAGTTCTGGGATCGAGTCCCACATTGGGCTTTCTGCATAGAGCCTGCCTTCTCCTCCCTCTGCCTGTGTTTCTGCCTCTCTATATGTATCTCTCATGAATAAATAAATAAAATCCTAAAAAAAAAAAAACTTATGTCCACACAAAAACCTGTATACAAATGTTTATAGCAGCTTTATTCATAACTGCCCAAAACCAGGAACACATAAATGTCCTTCAATAGATGAATGGATAACCAAATTGTGGTACATCCATACAATAGAATTATTATTCAATGATAAAAATGAGCTATAAAGCCATGAAAAGACATGGAGGAAGTTAAAATGCAAATTGCTAAGCAAAAGAAGCTAATCTGAAAAGGCTACAGACCGTATGATTACAACTATGACATTTTAAAAGAAGTAAAACTATATAGACAATTTAAAAAAAAAAAAACAGTGGTTGCCAGAAGTCCAAGCATAGGAGAGAAAAGATGAGTAGCTGAAGCACAGATCAAACTGTTCTGTATTGAAACTATAATGTTGGATATGTGTCATTATGCTTCTATCAAAACCTACAGAATGTACAACACAAAGAATGAACCTTACTACAAAACCGAAGACTATAATTAATAATAGGGTATCCGAATCCATTCATCATAACAAATGTACTAAACTAATGCAAGAGATTAATCATGGGGAAACTGGGGGAATACAGAGTGGTACATGGAAGTATATGTATTATTTTCTCTATTATTTTGTAAATCTAAAATTCTACTAAAAAAATTAAGTCAATTGTTTGACATGCACTTAGCATACAATCCAGCAATTGCATTCAACACATACAAAATTCTTACACAAACAATCATAGCATCTTTTTTTAATAAGATTTTATTTATTTGACAAAGAGGGAGGGAGGGAGAGCACAAGCAGGGGGAGTGGCAGGCAGAGAGAGGGAGAAACAGACTCCTCGCTGAGCAAGGAGCCCAATGTAGAGCTCAATGCCAGGACCCTGGGATCGTGACCAGAGCCAAAGGCAGATGCTTAACCAACTGAGTCATCCAAGCGTCCCGAATCATAGCACCTTTATTCATAATAGTCAAAAACTGGAAACAACCAATAGGTCCTTCAACTAGAGGTTGGTTAAGCAAACTGTGGTACATTTATGCCATGGAATACTGTTCGGTAATAAAAAGGAACAAAAAAAATAATAAAAAATAATAAAAAGGAACAAGCTATCCATATACACAACAATCTGCACAAATCTCCAGAGAATTATGCTGAGTAAAAAAAAGCCAGTCCGAAAAGGTTATATACCGTATTATTCCATTTATATGTCATTACTTGAAGTGACAAGACTATAGAATCAGAGCACAGATTAATGATGGCTACAGGTTAAGGACAGAGTGGGGGAGGAGAGAAGTGGTTGTGTCTATTAAAAGGCAAGATGAGGGGTCCTTGTAGTGATGGAAATGTTCCCTATGTCAATATCCTGGCTGTGACACTATACCAAGGTTTTGCAGGACGTTCCTACTGGAGGACACTGAGTAAATGGTACATTGCATTTGTATCTACAATTATCTCAAAATTAAATTTACCTTAAAAAAAAAGAAAAAGAAAAAAATTTTAAAGTAGACTCCTCCTCCTTACCTCAAATGATCTGCCAGACTGTCCTGGAACCAAGGCAGGGAACCTCTGGGGTGATTTCCCATTAGCTGGCATGTTCACCCTGGGTCTCAGACCACCTTCCAAAGCTGGAGGGGAGTCTGTATGTGGGCTGCGATCAGAATGAATGGAAGATCCCGCAGCCTCCAGTAAGGAGAAAGCTCAACAGCTCCACAGAGACACCAAGAAATCCTAAAAGGACAGTATCCATGTCATCAGTGTCATTCCATATCTACACCACAAAGTTCAGCAACCCCCACTCTGAGTGTTAGGGTGGATTATGGAAACAATCATGATATTTGAAGTCAAATTAATGATCTCAGAGTCCTTTATACTGGGGTGGCTCCACAGGGAGCTTCATACCTTATCTAGCCAGCCTATTCCTCAATTCCAGGTTCAAGGTAGATCTGGGTTTGCAGGGAGGGCAGAAATGGGACAGCAAATGGTGCTAAAGCCCTAAGCCGTGAACAGAGGGAGGGCTTGTCCATGGGGACTTGGTGGGTGTCTGTGGAGGCAGGAAACCTGGAGACCTGGCAATCTGAATGAAAGGTATCTCTTTCTGCTCTCTTTAATTATCTTGCCATTTTAGGGTGAAAAATCCCTCCTGAATTCTACAGGAAGCTCTTAGCCTCTTCTTTCCAGAAGATGGTTCAACATCAATAATATTATTTATTAATCAACAAATGGGGGCCATGCTGCTATGAACTTACACCAGAAAAGCATATGACACAATTCAGGAGACATTACCAATAAGACTCCCAACTAAAATTAGGGAAGATGTAAATCACTTAAATATCACAAAAATCATTTACTAAACATAGCCCTGAACTATGATGCTAAAAAAATACAATGATGAGGCTACTGCCATTAAAATTATCAACAATATAGGGATGTCTGACACAGCTCAAAATTGTTTTGCTGGCTCTAGCTCACACTATGGAAGATGAAACAATCAGAATGAATGTTGTAAGGAAATGGAAATGTGGCTTTCTTTGCCAATGATATGATTTTATACATAGAAAAAGACAGTACTAGCATTCATAGAGCAATTTGCTAAGGGGCTGGATACCGCATAAAATTATAAGATCATATAGTTTTTCCTCTATAATAGCAATGGTCAAATGAAAACGGGGGGGGGGACCAATTAGTAACAGCAAGAATTACGGAAAATACATTGAAGGAGTTGAACTTCTACGATTAAAAAATTGACAAATATAAAGTAGTCACACAAATATACCATATCCTTGGATAAGAAGATGTTATAAAAATGCCAACCCTCCCAAAAGCATTATAGTAATGTAAATAATAAATTTAGGGTAGCCCTGGTGGCTCAGCGGTTTGGCGCCACTTTCAGCCCAGGGTGTGACCCTGGAGACCCGGGATCGAGTCCCACGTCGGGCTCCCTGCATGGAGCCTGCTTCTCCCTCTGCCTGTGTCTCTGCCTCTGTGTGTGTGTGTGTGTGTGTGTCTCTCATGAATAAATAAATAAAATCTTTAAAAATAATAATAAATTAAAAAAAGACAACTCTCAATAATAAGATGGTGTATATAGTATGTTGTGGAATGCAGCTAAAGAGATCCTTAAAGAAAAATTCATGTTCTAAATGGCTTATAACAAAGAAGAAAGACTGAACATTAGTGAATTAACATCCTATTTAAAAAGTTAAAATGGTACAGAAAAGAGCAGAAATTAAGGAAATATAAAACAAAGGTACATCAGAGAGGATCAACAAGGCCAAAAGTTGGTTCTTTGGAAAGACTAGTAAGATCAGCACACCTCCGGGGAGACTGATAAGGAAAAATCTAAACACACACTCTATTGAGACTTGACAAGACGCAGCGAGGAATCTGAAACCTGACTGCCCCAGAAGCCCCATCCCTAACATGCACAGATTCCCATTCACCAGAGTCTTTAACTTCCCACCAATGGACCTTCACGAACTGACAATTCATCATTCCCAAAGCCAACAAAGCCATCACCTCAAAATCACTGATGACTGTCACGCCATAAAACCTCGTGCACTCGCTTTAGCGCCGCGCGCCAACAAGACTTAAACGTCCTCTGAGGGCCACTTCCGTTTCCTGTCCACCCCGACAGTGCCCCTTCTGGGGTGCTGGTCTCGCACAGGATCCTAAGGGCTGTGATGCTGCGGTCTACTCGCTCTGAGACGTGCGCTTACGGATCTGCGGAGACTTTGCCCATGAATGGTGCTGTCTGGAAAGGAACATGGCTGTGCGGAGGCGTTCCTCCGTGGGGGCCGCCATCTTTGCGCCCATTCCGTACAGTGGGCTGTTCCATGGGAGGCGGGGGCTGGGGGCGCAGTTCCGGGGTAGAAACCTGCGGGCAAGCATTCCGGGAGGAGCTGGTCTTTGGAACTGGGTTCTCTGGGTCTGTACAAAGTTTACAAAAGCAGAGGTGCCGAGGCTCGGGGAGAGGTGTCCTGATCTTTAAGGGAGATACCACACGGCGTGGGAGGGGGGAGTCAGGATTAGTTTCCCCTGGGAAGATGTCACTCGAAGGAAAGGAGAAATTAGAATGGTACAGTCCCCCTCCTGGCAGATACCACTGGGCAAGAGAGGGAAGGCGTCGCTCTGGTTCAGCCCTCTTCCTGGAGGTACCGCTGGAGAAGAGTGGGGAGGAGTCATGGGGGATACATTGTTTTGATGTGCTGGACAGTTGGTTAGAGGGTAATGGAAACCCCCTCAATCTCCATTACCTCCATTATCCCCACTAAAATAATAATGGCTAGGAATAAAAATAATAGCTATTGATATGGACAACTAATATTTTTAAGCAAATTATCAATAGAAAAAATATTTAGAAAACATCATAAATGTACTTTCTCTGAAAACACATCTCCGAGACACACTCCTAACTCCTCCTGTCAACCAGTTTGCAGCCCCTTAACCTCTCTTACGTGGGAATTTAGGAGCTACTAGTACTCTTGGGAGAAAGGGAGAATTCTTCGGGCGCCTGGGTGGCTCAGTGATTGAGCGTCTGCCTTTGGCTCAGGGCCTGATCCTGGGGTCCTGGGATCCAGTCCCACATTGGGCTCCCTGCGAGAGCCTGCTTCTCCCTCTGCCTATGTCTCTGCCTCCTTCTCTGTGTCTCTCATGAATAGATTAATAAAATCTTTAAAAAACGGAGGGGGGGGATTCTTCACCTCTGAACTCCTATCCTAAACATTCTTCAAAGCCTACTCCTACATATACTCCTCAGTAGGCCTTCTCTGACAAGAGGTAGAGGGCTCTTTTGCCTGCTGAAGGCATTTCAAACAGAACAGATAGGCCCTAGCTAAACTTGGGTATGGATTGCTGAGTCCCCTAAGGACATTCATACCCTCTCTCTGGGTCTCAGCCCAACAACCTGGAAAGTTAGAGTGTAACCCTCTATTTGTGAATTGAGTGGAAGAAAGTAGCAAACGTGAGAACATTTTTGTAACACACACACTTCTACAGAAATTTTCAAAACATTCTTGTTGTGACTTCTGGGCAATATCTCAAATCCTGGTACAAGTGCATTCATAGTAGAAGACTGCCCACAAGCTGGGACTTAGAGCCAGTAAAACAAGATGGTAATTTCTGGCAAAACCATAAACATGTTTTTAGCTCAAACCAGGGAGACTGATGATGTTGAAAAGTTCATGTTTTCCTAAGGTATAGACATGGAATGGTTAATGGAGGCCCAGAGTTCAAAGGCAGAAGTGATGGTCTGTCACTTAAGAGAATAGATTATAAAAGACTGAGGCTTCCATCTTATTCTCTCTCTCTCTCCTTCTATCCCTCATATCACACACTCCGGGAGAAGCCAGCTGCTATGTCATAATGACACCCAGGCAAGCAGCCTTTGGAGAGGCCCCAGTGCCAAGAACACCTGCCCATAGTCAGTGAGGAGCGGAGGCCTCTAGCCTCTAGCCATCTAAATGAGCCAATGTCCAGCCTCAGCTGACTACAGCCCCAGGCTACAATTTCAAGATAGCATCAGTTGAGACCCTGAGACAGAATCTCTAAGCCAAGCCACACCCAAGTTCTTAAACCCATGGACACTGTGAAATAATAAATGTTTGTTAAATTTCTGTGTTTTAAGAGTAATTGGTTGTGCCACAATAGGTAACAATATGGGCATTTTAAGTTTTAGTATTTTGTTCATCGTGGATTTTTGTATTGATTCTGACTTTTGAAAACACTGCACTAAAATGTTGTTTATCTTGATTACTGAGGGTTTTTTTGGTGCCCCCTTAAATTTTGCACTTTGAGGTGAGTGCCTCGTCCTAGTCCCAGCTCTGCCAAGAAAACTTGTTCTCTGTAATCAAAGACTATCAGAAACTTTGCTATTTTAAATTATACCAGTAAGAATAAAACATCCTACTCTGCCTGGAGGATCCAAGTCACTTTGACATAGAGGAGCAGCCTCAATTTCCAACCCAGGTTCAGAGGCTCCAATTAGGGGCATCTGAAGTGAACATGTCATGTCTATTTTTCCTGTAGTGTTTCTTTTTCTTAATTTTATTTATTTATTTTTAAGATTTTATTTATTTATTCATGAGGGACACAGAGAGAGAGGCAGAGACAGGCAGAGGGAGACGCAGGCTCCATTCAGGGAGCCTGACCGGGAACTCCATCCCGGGTCTCCAGGATCATACCCTGGGCTGAAGGCAACACTAAACCTCTGAACCACCCAGGCTGCCCTACTGTAGTGTTTCTAAATAAAAAGGCCCCTGAATCCATTTCACAGTCCAGACTTAACTTGACTCTTTTGTGATGCCTGGGTGGCTCAGCACTTGAGCAGAGATCTGCCTTTGGCTCAGGGCGTGATCCCGGAATCCCAGGATAGATTCCCACATCAGGCTCCCTGCATGGAGCCTGCTTCTCCCTCTGCCTGTGTTCTCTGCTTCTCTCTTTCTGTGTCTCTTATGAATAAATAAATAAAATCTTTAAAAAAAAAAAAAAAAAAACATTGACTCTCTTATATACCAACTTGCTTTGCTTTGGCCTAATCCAAACTCTGCTTTCAACACACACTACACTTGATCTTAGCCAAAAGGCCGAGAAGCGATCAAACTCTGCTTTCAATTAAAAAAAATTTTTTTCATTTAAAATTTTAACTAAAAAAATAAAAATAAAATAAATAAAATAAAATTTTAACTAAACTCAACTCTTCCCCAAAACCCTATAGTAATCCCATTTCCTCCTTTGTTTGCAAAGACTAAGGTGATTGACTGTCCCTGTTTGCCCAAGACCGAAGGATTAACTGAGACAAGGGACAATCATTGCTGAAACCAGGAAAGTCCCAAGTAAACTTGAACAAGTTGGCCACCCTAGGTGAGATTCTCCTCAGTTCTTATGATGTGTGGTCTCCATTGCTGCAGCAAGTTAATAAGCCCATTAATGTCAGACTATGTATGTGACCCCAGGGGTCTTTATCAGGTAGGCTTTATCAAGGTCGTTAATGTTGGAAGGGTTTACAGAGGTCATGTTTGAGATCAGTCCTACTATGCATTGATGGTGAAAATTTTCACAGACCTGGACTGAAGCTCCAGATCAAAGGGGCATTGATGGAGGAATGATTAATTGTAGGCTGAACGTTAAACCATGCCAGAAAAGCACTGAGTTATCCGAGCTCTAAAGTCAGAGACTAAAACAATATTCTATAAAGTTAGAAACGGGTCCAGAAAAAAAAAAGAAAGAAAGAAACGGGTCCAGAAGTGGTAGAAGTGTTAAAAGGGGCCTGGATTTTAGATTTTGACAAAAGAGTTATTGATGGTGGATTAGATAACAAATGACCAAATTCAAGGGCCAGCTGGATGAGAAGTGGTGGGGGAAGAGTTAACAGAAGCCAGCAATTTGAGCTCTCTTGTCTAGACCAAGTCTGTGGGTTGTAGATAGATGGTACAACTGGCCAATGGCTGTGTAAGAGAGGTGGGGTCTAGTATCTGATGGCCAATGAGATGAAGCAGCAGCCTGTTACTAAGGCGAAGCCCCTTTTGCTACGTGCGAAGGAGAAGCAGGGTCTAACTTGAGTAGCTCCAGACAAATAGCCAATGACTGCTGGAGAAGATGGACTTTAGCCTCTTCAGCCTATGGTGAACTGTTACTATGCCACAAGCGCCAAGACCGTGGGAAATGAGGCAGCCAAAGTGGTACCTGAGAAACTGTAGACTGAAGGTGCACTTAAGGGAGTTGCTGAGCGTTAAGAATCTGGCTCTGGCCTCCCTACTCAAATAAGGCTGCTAGGTCTGTAAACCAGCAAAGTCCCCATGGTCCAATGCAGGGAGGGGGCAGGGCATAGTCTGAGGGGCTATGCGAGGCCGACTCTAGTTTCCTTGGCCAATGAAATGTGAACATCCCTGTTACTATGCAGCAATAACTTTGCCGTTCCAAATCATATCAGTAAGAATGAAGCCTCTCACTGTTGCCTGGAGACTCTAAATCACTTTGATGCAAAACGGCAGTCTCAGTGTCCAGCCCAAGGGGAAGAAAAGGAGGAAACTTAGCATGAGGGGCTGCAGACAGGTGACCTGTTGAAAAGAAAAAGAAACAAATGAAACGTAATAATGTGTTTTATTTAAACTGCATATCCAAAACATCATTTTGACCTGTCATCAATTCTTCAAATTATGAATGAGATTATTTGGTGGGTTTTTTGTTGTTGCAAATAAGTCTACAAAATCAGATATGTATTTTACACTTACAACATGTCTGTTGGAATATTGAATTTCCACCAGAAATACTTGATCTGTCTTTAGATTTCATAAAATTTAAATTTGAAAACCTAGATTAATATTCACAGATTAGGGATCCCTGGGTGGTTTAGCAGTTTAGCGCCTGCCTTTGGCCCAGGGCGTGATCCTGGAGTCCCAGGATCGAGTCCTGCATCGGGCTCCCTGCATGGAGCCTGCTCCTCCCTCTGCCTGTGTCTCTGCCTCTCTCTGTGTCTCTCATGAATAAATAAATAAAATCTTTTTTAAAAATTCACATTTTAGTTCAAATGTACTTGAAAAGTTTTCCATTCACTGAATTAAGTATCTATTTTAAATGCTTCATTAATTAAAAGAAATAAAATTTAAAATTTGATTCTCAGTCTCACTAGCTTCATTTCAAGTACTGCATAATCACATGTTATGCTAGTGTCTCCCATTTCAAATGGCGTGATTCTAG